ATCTCTATAAATACTGTTATTCATCTACCCAATTCATTTTTTCCTTATTTGAAAAAACTGGATCATTCCATATCCAAATTCTCTCTTCCTCATTTTTTATTAACATGGTTCATCTATATCATTTGCATTTTTGTTATTTTACAATTTGCAAGTGAATGATTTATTATTCTTATTTTTTGGTATATATTGGCATTTCCAATCACTTTCATTGGATAATGCTTTTTCAAATATTATGCATTTATGTCGATGATATTTTTAGTAATACACGACTGGTTTGTAAACTCACAATCATATAGTCAAACGGGTTATGATTAATATTTTTTAAAAACATTTTTTAAGAGTTGGTCTGTTAAAACATACATACAATATAAGCGTGTATATTTTACAAGTGTAATCATTTAAAGTTTTCATATACTCGATTTCTTCTTTTATTATAACTTTTAATTATATATTAGATAAATATTTTCCTCCGCGCTGTAGCGCGGGTCCGTTTCTAGTTCTGATTAAAAAAGAAAAAAAACTAGCCATTACTTTCTGTAAGTAGAAAACACTAGCTACGACGGTTGTTTAAGAAGAAAAAAGGAAAAAAAAAAAAGAAGAAAAAAACACCTCAACGTACTCCAAAGATTTGGAAAGAAGCACGAACCCTAGACATAGAATATATAGCATAATAACGCCGATGGGTCTATTGATGATAATAATTAATAACTCAAAATAAGGTTTCTTTCGTTTATATTTAGTTTCTTAATATACCATTAACGAGCTCTTGCCTCTTGGGCACTGCAACTCTCCGACATATATAGACGATGCAATATCATATCAATAGTCAGATCATAGAAAGAAGCGAATCTAAACTCCCGGAGAGATATATATAGACGACAAATCTTTCTCTATTTCGTAACATGCAAGTGATTTTCGTTTCTAGTGGGATATGAAACCACAATATCATAAGAAAGTTATAACAAGATGATGTTTCTTGTTGCCGTTTTTTCTTATTCTTGTTATAAATCTTTCATTATATTAGTCTCACACTTTTTTCCTATATTGGGGTGCTAAGAAAAACCGTCTATTTTTGTCTTTAAAAAACAATAAACTAAAAAAGTATCACATTTTTGTCCCCAAAAAAAAAAGTATCACATTATGACATTATATATAGAAGAGAAAAAAAAAAAACTTCAACGTGGGGATACATGACTCAAACACATAGTCCAATTAACACCTGACTTAAGTTAACCTTAGAAGTGAGTCCGTCCAACAGAGAAAAACCTTAACCGACTTGATATTCAACACTAATTAAACTGGAGATTCTGGTTAGGACTGGGAAATACAACCCATCCAACGATCACAGTCCCTATTTTATAACATTCCCCTTGGTGTATATCTACCACTAGACCATAAGCAATTTAATAGTGCTCCTTTTTTTTTGTTCCCATACAAATATATATATATATATATATATATATAAACTACCTTCTTAGTTCTTCTTTTTTTGTATATTCCTGGTCACAAATTAAGTTGTTTGAATAAATAAGTATCATGGTAACGCCATGAAGAAGAACGGGTCGCACTCGAAATCGGCAAAGGTCTTTGTTCATACTTTTGATCCAACGGTTGAGAATAGAGAGAGAGAGAGATGTTATTTACCAATAAAATCAAGAAGAATGGTACAAAAGAAGAAGACCCCACATTCAGACACGTTTCGTATCAGCCGCGTGGAGATTGTCTACATGCCACCCCGTCTTCCCTTTTAACTCCTTTTTTTTTTCTTCTTTTTTTCATTTCTTCCAAATAAAAGAAGTTAAACATAAGATTTTTTTCTTTTTTGGGGGGGGGGGGGGGGGGGATAAATAAAAAAAAGTTAAACAGTTAAATAATGAAGGGGATATAGACCGAGTTTTTTTGGCCTAACATAACACATAGATATGCTGATGCATATAATAAATCAATCTCAAAGTTGCATACCCTTTCATTTCATGTTCAAGTCTAATTTTCCTTAAATCTGTTTTAGTGTTTGCAGGAAAATAAAAGAAGAAGATTACTAGAATGACTATATATAGTGTCATTTTCAGAGCTCTTTTGCATTATGAGATTCTCATTAAAAAAAATTAAAAACTCTGTGTGGGATTCTTGTGATTATTTCTATAGTCATCCTTAAGAAGTCTTAGAAACCTACAAAAACAAAAATTAAAACATTATATATAATTTTGAAACGAGAACATCTGGTTTTTTTTAGTAGTCATCCAACTGTCACAAGTATATAGAAATAAAATGTATGTGCAAAACAACAAATTTTTCTTCGCCTTTTTTATTTATTTTAGCTATAATCTATTTATATTTATAATAATTTTTAATTTTTTTGCAAAAATAACTTGTACAAGATTAATAGAAAAACGAAGAGTGTCTTGAAAAAAAAAAAAAAAAAAAAAAAGAAGCGAAGAGTGAGCAGAAACAATAGAGAGGAAGAGGAGAGAGACAGAGATCGTTCGTTTTCTGCAACCAAAGAATCTTTTTTTTTACGGACCCAAAGTAAGAAATACGTTAATAATTAATAAGAGCGAAAGTATTTGAGAGTGAAACTTAAAAGGGTTTATTCTTCTTTTTCGATGTATACATCGATGCTTATCAGGTATGTTAGTTAAACGCTTCTAAAACTCGGCCATTTCTTGTGGGTAAACTGAAGTTTGTTTTTTCCATACGTATACCCAAGGGCTTTGTGGTTTATGGTTATTACTTGTATGTTAGATTTGAGAGCAATGAGGGGTTAGCTAGATTCGTCGTCATAAGCAGTCTTAGGACTTAGGAGTGTGCCTAATTGTAACTCGTAACTCGGGCATTCGGCTCGGTTACATGACGGCGGGAACGTCCCAACACGTCAGGGTTGGGAACGCGAGTCTATGAAGTCTGAACCGGAGAGAAGGCTTAAGAGGAACGAGAGCTCAAAGCTGCTTCCATGGCTATCGAATCCTTTCTTTGTTACGACCATGCAACGTAACAGATTTAAAGGTTTTATACCTTTTTATTATAAGAAAAAAGAAAAGAAAATTAACAGATAAGATTTGTGTTTGTGGTTCATCTTCGGATGGTTTCGATCAGGTGCATTTTTTTTTTTTTTTTTTAATTTGTATTAGAAACCGATCGAAACTAAAAATAAAATCATTTGCAATTTAGTTTGTGAAAAAAATTATTTCATTTTCCATTTTTCTTTTTATTTGGTTACAGTTTTTTCCAACCGTTACTAAATATATATGCTTGTTAGCCAGAAAACGAATATTAATAAATAATAACCAGAAATATTTATAAAACCGGTAAAACCAGAAGCTGAGGTTATAACAGTCTGGGTTCTAAACCACCTCTTCTAATCCGATTGTGAAGGGCGTGACAATGATTTACTCATTTACATAGTAAACGGAACCAAGATCTCATTAACCCTAGCCGTGGTCTGGGACGGCGGGTTATAATCAGCGACCAAATACGCTGGCGATTTTCCTTTGCTCTTCTCGATAGCCAAAACCCATTGAGTTCCGTCGAGGCTATCCATCAGAGCCGCAGCTTCTTTCTTGGCTACATCTTCCGACACGTACCCACCCAACTGCCTCACGGCTACGTAGGTTGGTTTCCATGACTGCACATGGAGGTCATTGTCCTGAGGTGGGTTCTCTTGGTTCTTTTTCGGGATATAGAAGGAGACGTTGTAGGCTGATTGTCCTGGCGTTGCTTGTGCGATCACCGGAGCTGTCATGTTCATCTTCACATTATCCTTGTTTTTTCCTTGTATGTAACTAAATAATCTACAACCCCAATTAACAACATCAGTTTCGGTTTCACTAGCTAGTTAACAAAAATTACTCACATACGGTTCATTCAGATTTAATTTTAAATAGATTGAAAAAATGTAAAAGTTACCGTTGGAAACCGGTTTTGGTGGCTTGAGCCATGGATGTTGCGGAGATAGGACCAGCGGACATCCACACGGCCGCGTCATACATGCGGATCTCATAGGCGTATCCGGCCTCTACCAATTTATAGTTGGGGCACTCGTAGTGGTCACACGTCCCCGGACGCATCCCATTAGATGGAGTCCATGGTGCGGGAGCCTGAGCACATGATCCAACCACGAATAGGCTGAGGCAAAGCGATAGCTTTAAGATGTTGAAACCGGTTTCCATGATTTGAATAGGATTTTTAGATGAATATTTCTGGTTTTGTTTAGATTCTAATTGTAATGGAGTATTTGTAGATGGATTTTTTGGGCAATCAGATGATAATAATAGAATACAAGTTTGTAATAATATATTTGACTAGTTATAGTTAGTACAAGTTTGACCTCTGATTTGGATTTGGATAACTGTGAAATGCTTTGCGAGATTAAATTTGGAATTTGATAAAATGTTTGCCAAGTTTAGCGGAGATTTGCCTATAGAAGGTTCATTACTTAATAATAGTAATAAAGTAGTACAATCAAATATAACGATGAATCAATTCTATTTTGAGTTATGAGACGAAACGTAAAGTTTGTATTATTATTGAGCCTCTTTAATCTTTATATTGATCTTTTAATAGAAAATCTTCTGCAAACTGAAGTACAAACTTCAAAGTTTAGACTTTATTTGCTTACGATGAACTTTAAGGATCATACAAGCACTGGGCACCAATTATAGATGAGGAGTTATAGTTAGCCAAGTCATATTCATATATCGTGGACTTGTCGAAGGAGATGAGAGAGCAGCCGCTGATACGGATTTGTCTGAATACAGTAACAAAGATTGGACTCAACTGAAATGATGAAGTCATTTTGTTTGGACTTGTGAGAGGAGCAGTTTCACTAAAGAACATGATAAATTAATCTATAAAGCCCACGTAAATGGTGTGTTTGAGTTTGACTGGTGGGTAATTGGACATAGGTCATAACGTAAACGTTTTGCTTCCACGGTTCGTGTGCACTGTGCAGTGTTTGAATATCTTCAATAAAAAAACGCTTATATGCTCTCTTATCGAATGAGTTCAGCTTTGTGTTATTGCTTTTGAAATTCATATATAGTTTTAAAGATTTTAACAACGTTACAATTGCTGCCAAATCCTCTTTTGTGTGTGATTTACTGTACTATAAGTCTATAAGCTTGTCTCAATCTTTCCAACTTCTTTTGGGAAAGCTAATCAATTCTTTCAAGATTATACATCACCATTTGTTCTAGAGCTGACCTGAAGCCACTTCGAGGCAGGCACTGCAGATTCTTTATCGCGTCATCAGCCTTTTCCCTAGCCAACTCTTGTGCTCTCCTGATTCCCCCGCCTTCTCTCACCATTTCAATCGCTTCTTCCAGTGAACCCACCTCACAAAACTCAGACTCAATGATCTCTCTCAGCCTCGGCTCCTTCTCCAGAGCAAAAATCACAGGAGCGGTTAAGTTACCTTTAGCCAAATCACTCCCTGCTGGCTTCCCAAGCTGCTCTGTAGACTGAGTGAAGTCCAATATGTCATCAACTACCTGGAAAGAGAGGCCAAGATTCTTCCCAAACTCATACATTTGCTCTGTCACATTGGTCTCGACTCTGCTGAAGATGGCAGCTCCTTTGGTGCTCGCAGCCACTAAAGAGGCTGTCTTGTAAAAACTTTTGAGTAAGTAGTCCTCAAGCTTAGTGTCACAGTCAAACAAACTCGACGCCTGCTTTATCTCTCCGCTTGCAAAGTCTTTGATCACCTGAAAACGTAACAATAAGTTTTTGGGGCACAGCATTATTCAGTGAGGTTTGATTCAGAGCATAAACCTCATAAAAGAAACAACATAAAGAAGTAATAAAGTACCTGACTTATGAGCTTAATAACTTCGAGATTCTCAAGATTTGCTAAGTACCATGATGCTTGAGCAAACATGAAATCACCAGCTAACACTGCTACTCTTGTACCGAAAAGCTCATGAACTGTTTCCTTTCCTGCAATTATTGGACACAGAGTTTTAACATAACTAAACATTTGAAGAGTAGAGACGAATCATCAATCAAAACTATGAATGGAACTCACCTCTACGCATATCACTCTCATCTAAAACGTCATCGTGTATCAAGCTTGCGGTGTGAATCATCTCAATGATCTCACCCAAACGCCGGTGTTCAGTTGTTAGTTCCCTGCATCAACACAATCTGGAAATGATCATTTCATGCGAAAAAATGGGATACGAAATTGAACTAAAGGAATACAAGAAAAGTCTAAAGATGACATACTTTAGGCCAGCCAATTCTGCTGTGGCTCGTGATACAAGGAAGACCAAACCCGGCCTCATTCTTTTACCACCAGCTCCAAAAATCTGCTCTGCTGCAGATATCAAAACTGGATTTTCTGCACCAACAATCTATAAAGAAGGATATTGTTAGTGCAAATTCAAAAACAGAATATAAGAAGACAATGCGAAAAAAGAGTTTCTTCGGATACTAACCGATAAAAGATTGTCATTCAATGTCTGCAGATCATCAGCTACTACCTCAAACAGGTCTGTCAACGAAATCTGCTGTTCTGTCTCTGGCTTCAAATCAAAAGTCACTGTTTGAGCTTGACCAATACCTACACTTCTCATGAGGCATAAGCATAAACTCCAAAAATTCTTAAGACACCTATAACTATTTACAACACAAAATTCATTCCTACGAGACATTCAATTCACAGAGATAAACCCAATTCAGGATTTGAAACTGAGACCAGAATTAGTGACAAGAACACGAGTCAAACTAATCCAAGAGCTTCAATCCAAGCCAAAAGACCAATCACATGCACCGAAATCACAACCAAAAAAGTTGAAGACAAGAGAGAATCATATACCATTGAGTAAAGAGATCTCCTTTGGTTTCGTTGGCACGGCTCTGCAACTCCCCACAAGATTCCCACCGCCATAGCTTTTGTTGCTGCTACCAAACTTGGAGAAATTGCCCAACGGAAGAAACGGACGACGGCCACAACCACATGCCATCATCATCGTACCTAAATCTATGTTTCGAGATGACGTCATCATTCTCACAAAACCTTGAATCCTAGTAAGCTTGAGAACTAATTGGGTAATAAGGGATTATGAAGCTCTCTGTAACTAGAACAAGTCTGTAAAGATTCAAGCTCTTAAGCAAACAATAAAAAGCCAACTCCTTTTCTCACACGGGAGTTTATGTGTATGGAAAAATTACAACAACAGAAGAAGCACAAAAATACAAAATCAAGTGGTTGATTTAGTAGCCGATCGAGGTTTAGCTTGGGTGGACGAGACAAGTCCACATGAGATCATTACGAGGACGAAAGTGACGAGTGTGTTCTGTTCTTTCTTCAACACCAGAGAGAGAAGAGGGAATCGATTAGTCTCCGCTTATCTAATCTGAGGCAGATATCTCACCACGTGTCAACCATCCCATGCTTTAAAATTCGAGGATATTGACGAATACGTTACTTTTTTTTTTTCCCCTTTTTTCATGAGAACGCGTTACTTTCTACATATTTCCATTTTTCAAATATATGTCTAATTTTTTCCTGTTTTCAGTGTAGTCAAAGATCTAATTTTTTAATAGTTTTTACATGTTTTAGTCTGAAATTTAGGTTTAGTGATATTGCATACTGAAATGAGACTGAATAATTGTGAGCAAATCTTGATTAGTGATGGATAGATTTACTTCATCAGTTCTTGTTGTTTTTTGATACCAAATATGATTGCAAGAGAAATCAAACATTTAATTTAACATATGATTAATCAAAATCTTAAAACTTCAATCAAACACTCATAAACATGCTCTCCTCTGTTTTCTTGTAACAAAGACAAGTCGTATGCTTTTTTTTTTCCTCATGTGTATTGATAGTAGCAGTTTCCATAGCCTACCAAAAAAAAAGAAGAAATTTATAGAACTGTTTTATATATAAGGAGAGGAAGAGAGAGAGAGAGAGAAAGCAAACTCACTGGGATTAGTTATGACAATGAGTCCAGAGTTCTTGAAATTGCAGTTCCAATAGTTTCTTCCATTAGCTTGGTAATAAAGATTCATGGCGATGGAAGCATGGTTGATGAGGTTACCAGGGGAGTAACATGGACATCCATTAGAAAGAATGCGGCAATCAACATGAGAACATGCGAAGTTTATGTTATCAAGAAGTGTTGCTTGATCTGAGGAAGGTTTAGCCACACACCAAGTCTTCATCTATAACATGCAACAACAACTTAGAACAAAACTCATTGAGTAAAAAGAAATCAGATTTGCATTTTGATTGTTGGTCTAAGCATTTACCTCCGCGTTGACCTTGATGAAGTTTCCTTCTGTGAGAAAGCAAAAAACACGAAGATGATGATACTGTTAGTAGGATTATTATTATACTCGACTTTGAGTTAAAACTGTTTGTGGCATTCTAAAAGTAAATTTCAATAAGTAATTAAACTAGGATGGTTTTTAGTGAGTTGTAATATGATTACCTGAGGAAAGGTAGAGGAAGATGAGGAAGGAAATGCACATCCATGATTTAGCCATTGTTGTATTTTTGTTTTGAGTACTGAGAACTCTTCGACACTCATTGGTAATATTTATATAAGTGTTGAGCAAGTGAATCAGTGATTAGTTATTTTTCTATACGAATAAACAATTCAAAGAAAGAAACAAAAGATTTTGTTTTTGACATCTAATATTTAATGTTTTCAGGATTTTAGGGTGAATAATCCAGCAACTTGCTTAGAAGAAAAGTAAGCGTTTCAGCCAAAGTGTCGTTTTATAAACGTTCTCTTTGGTTTCAAATTCAATCTTTTTTTTTTCTTTTATTCGTTTTGCGAAGTAAATTATATTGTTTCAGAAGGTTTAGTGTAGTGAGAGGATTTGGGATCTCACCGTCAAAATAACGAGACATCAAAACGTGAGCTGAGCTGTAAATTAGGGAAATTTTTAGATCCAATGCCCACTTTGTACGAGAATCTTATGAAAAGAATTAGTTCATATAAGGCTTTTTGTGTATATAATCCTTTATAGCATGACCAACAAAAAAGATTTATAAAAAAAATCTTGTAGAGATCGTATATATTATATGGAGTATAAAGCTTTACAGTCCAGTTATCAAAGAGAGAAGCGAATCTCGAAGTCTTTTTCTTCAGCCAAACTTTATTTTGGAACTGAATAATTTGATTATTTCAAGAAACTAGTTAAGTTTCTTACAGAACATGCTCACGTGCATGCTTTCATCTCATGCGAGCAATATCGACAAGAGAAAAAAAGAGAGAGAGAGAGAGGCATCAGAACGAAGAAGAAGAACGTTTCGAAAGTTTGATATATTCGAGCAATTTGACAACCTCGGCCATAGTCGGTCTAAGGATCGGTTCCGGTTCAAGACACATCATCGCTATACCAAACACATCGTTCATCTCTTGAATTGGTGATCCTCTTAACCGGTTATCTATCACCACCTCTTCTCTCTGATCTCTTACCACTCCTTTTACCTGAATAGAAGTAACAATTAGAACGACGTTTGCTTTTTAAACCAAACCAGAGTAATAATAATTTGAACAAGGAAAAGAGATATATAGCTTGATACCCAAGTAACAAGCTTTGTTCCTTCTTCAAAAAACTCATCATCTGTTGGTCTTCTTCCAGTTAAAAGCTCCAAAAGAACAACCCCGAAACTGTAAACATCTCCTTTAATTGTCGCTTTACCCGTATCGAAATACTCTGTTTTTAGAACACACATTGACCAAAATCATAATCAATCTAACTTCTGTTGGGTGAATGTGAATATGTACTTGTACTAACCAGGAGCTAAGTATCCAAATGTTCCAGCAACAAAGGTCGAGACATGAGTCTTGTCTGGCTCCATCAAAGTGGCTAAACCAAAATCAGAAACCCTAGCTTCCATGTTGTGATCAAGAAGTATGTTGCTAGATTTGATGTCTCTATGGATAATGTGAGGGATGCAATCATGATGAAGGTAAGAAATCCCTCTAGCCGCTCCAACCGCGATTTGGTATCTCGACGCCCAATCCAAAATTTTTCTATCTCCAGATTCTTTTCCTGCGAATTAAAAATCTATATATAAAAGAAACACTTGCGGTTGAAGAAAACACGTTTTTGTGCTAAATGCTCTGTTACTTATTGGTGTAGTACCGTGTAGAAAAGAATCCAAGCTTCCATTAGGCATGAGCTCATAGATGAGAAGATTATAATGTGGAGAAGTGAAGTAGCCGTGGAGAGTTACAATGTTCCTGTGTTTTATATCAGCCATCGCTTCTAACTCCCTATGAAACCCTCTGTCTCTCTCAGAGGTTCCTCTGTTTAGTCTCTTGACAGCAAAAGTTGTTGAATCATCAATGACTAATCTGTAAACAGTTCCGAACCCTCCAGAACCGAGAATGTCTTTGTTGCTTAGCTTATGTGTCTTCTTCATAAACATGTCAGAGGAAACAGAGTTAAGTAACGGAGATCTGAACATCACCATTTTTCCTCCTCCTTTGACTGCAAGATTATAAAACACATGAATGAAAACATAAGAGACATGATACAGTATATATAGTTCACACAAAAAAAAATGAAAAAAGAAGAAGATAAGATTAGTGATACCTGGGAATCCATTTTCATGAACTGTGTGTTTTCTCTTCCATCTCTTGTAGAGAAGAAGAGCGATCACGATTTTACCAATGACAAAAGCAACCACAGAGATTGTTATATAAAAAGTTGTTTCCTTTGCATTAGCCATCGTGTTTCTCTGAACTAAAGCTTCTAAGCTTTTTTTTTTCTTTTCCCTTTACCTCATTATCGAGATTTGAAAAAAGAAGTTGGTTGTACGTGAAAACGGAGATAGACTGAAAAAGGAAGTAGGTTTACGCTTAGATACGCCCTATAATAAAAACAATCCATATATATCATCGACATTACGTATGAAACGAAACTGGTTTTATACGTAAGAAAGTTCATCCGCTTTTGTTGAAAATATTAAATGAGATGTAACACTTTATATGAAAAATGTAATACAAGAACTCGTGAAGTTAGGTACGGAACCTTACCAGCTAGCTATTACCTTGTTTTTGTCGTTGACTATGTTACTCAACATGTGAAAGAAGAAGATGATGATCAGTAATAATACAAAACCCTTGCGAAATGCAAGTTTAACTTTAAGTTCTAAAGCTGATTTTTCTCTCTAACATTTTACATTTCTGAATCTAAAAAAGAAATGACTAACATATTCAAAAACAAAATTTAAAAAAAATCTCTGCAAATTGTACTCTGTAACATTAAGTCTGATCTAGCATCTGTATATTGGAAAAGGTAGAAACCTCCGCATATCAGTCAGTGGCTTCTTATGATCCTGCGGAAACAAATATCCAAAGCAAAAGAACATTTGTTTTCAATCTCAAAATTCAATTTTATCTTTTAATCTAACACAGTGAAGAACTTTTCTCACCTTCCTAACCGAGAGAGCTCAGGTTCAGCCAACAACATATCTTGCAGCGGTTTTGCATCCATGTACCTTCCACTACTTCTGCAGAAAATTAGTTGTGATATGAATCAAAGACTATATTTAATGTTAAAGATGATTTTGTTTGGGAAGATAAAATAGGGAGAAATCTACTCGCAGATGTTATCGATTTTGAGTTGCTTATGATGAAGAGCAAAATCATGACCGACACAGGACACAACCAAACTACCGGCATCAGGATGAGGCCAGATTCTTGAAACAGGGAACCGGAGTATGAAGGTTCCTGGTTCTTGGCCTTGAAGCGAATGTTCTGCTTCTTCCTTACTGATGAATCCTTCCACCCATTTAGGCGACGACGAACGCCACATTCCGTTTATCCAGCCGCGGGATATGGAGTAAGCAACAGGGAACAGCCAACACCACATTTTCTCAAAATTCTCCTGAGTTATGTACTCGTAGGATCCTGATATTCTCCTTAGAAGCTCAAAATCCTGGTTGGTGAGAGATCTACTGCTGCATTTTGAAATCCTCATGAAATGTTCTTCAATCTCATAGACCACATTATCCCAATGAACATGTTGATTGTTCCGAGATATCAATATCCATGCATTTGTACCTTCAGCTATTAGCTCTCTTGCCATGTTGATTTGATAGCTGAAATTTTGGAAGAAAAATAACTTCACTTTCACAATGTCTCAAAGAAAAGATACAATCTTTGTTCCTTCTCTGTTAGATGTAAATTACCTATGGTGGGAACATCCAGAGTACAGAGAAACCTGATTCGAAAATTTCAAAACTTCGTCGTCTGATGAGTTGTTTGTGATTTCCTTTAGAAGGAGAGCTTTATCTGTTAAGTTTCCAAGGCAGTATCTAAAGATGGTGGAATCTGAGATTGTATGTCTCATTTCAAAGTTTTCTGAATCAGTTGAGGAGTTATATTCTTCGTGCAATCTCATACAATTTCCATCCTCAAACTTCTCACAGCATCAATGCAGAAACGGTAAAGGTTAGTACAAGCTATATATGCAAACCAAAAAACATTATGAAAAGAGTTATACCTGTCTTGAGGTTTGGGGATAAGAGTTGCAATGCTGATATAATTCCTCACTCCCAGAGTCACTTTCTTTGCCTAACCTGATTCGTTTAACTGAAGGAGTATTATGTAGAATGTCCTGTGATTCGGTACTTGATGGACGATCAACGTTTGTCAACCTTTTCGGAGTAATGGAAAGCGACCCAACATCAGGACTGACCGATATGCAACGGATTGGATTGGAAACAGCTTGAAGGAAAGGGTACTCTTTAGCATTTCGTATTCCAAATTTAACCCTCAACAATCTGTTATCACTCTTGGAGGAAAGCTAGAAAAAAAAGAAGATTTAACAACAGTTCTTTAGTGATTTCAGAAAATATGTATTCTAAATGGTCAAACTTTCCCACACAAGTAGCAGAGAAGCTTTACAAAGATAAATATACACTGTTTTATTTACCTGAGAGATCTTGAGCTTCAAGGATGAGCGTCCGTTCAATAATTTGATCGGTCTATCATCAATTGAGAATTCAACTCCTTCATCCCTTATCATAAGAGGAGCCTCAGTTTCACTCATCTTGGCCTCCAGAAGGGTATCAGCATACAACAAAGATGCAACAACCTTGCATTTTAAACCCAACCAAGTACTATGGATGATTTTCCAAGCTAAAGAAGTAGGCAAATTAGTGCCAGGAGTAATCGTAAGAAATATGAACCTCTACATCCTTGTGCACAGGCTGGCCAATGGCATTGGATAAAACAACATCCAAGGAAAAATTCTCACCGCAAAATGCCTATATATAGAGCAAGAAAATTAGTGTTGACTGCGGAAATGTAAATCAATCCCAAGTAGATTTCTAATGAGCTTTAAGAAGTCTGACCTTCCAAACACCATCATCATCTAATTTAATCCCCACTGAGGATGAATTATTGACAGATAACAATAGAGGTGGATCCTGGAAAATATAGAGAAAGTAAACTTGGAATATTGGAAATAATTCAAACACAGAACAAGTGGTCTAAAGGAAGAGAAGGGTACGAGTTAAGCAGGGACCTTCCTATAGTGATGTTCCACATGATGACAAGCAGGCAAGGCTTCTGCACATGTGACATAACCTTCAACGCTATACCCATCTCCGCCAACACTAAATAGTGATATCTTTCGAGGACATTCGGGATCGCTGTTCTTCGTCAGCAAAGAAGTCAAGAACAGCTCTCCTTGGATCTTTCCATCAATAACAAGCCTCATGTAGTTTCTCGAAACCTAAGAGAAAAACAGCAGAATCAGCCATCTCAAGAACTAAAGGATGTTGCATTTCCTGCAAAAATGGGGGAATCTTACCTGGCATCCCACATGAACCCATTGTTCAAGAGGAAACTCGGATTTTGAAGATACGCAAGGAACTTTTGTCCAGGAAGATTTTTCAACAGGATCAGGAGCTTCCTCGTGAAGGAGAGTCAATGGCAAAAGCGTCATCTTCTTGTTTTCATCTAGGACAAGGAAAGGTGCACTAACACTCATGTCTGAGTGAACCTGTTAAAAGACAAACCACTTTATCATATATGGAACTATACAAGAGGTTGAAAGACTCTCGAGGAATCTCTGAAGCCAAAAAAACTTCGAATCAGACATGAAGAAGAAAGTAAATCAATCCTATTTCTAAATATCGATTCAATGATTGGCATCTAATTTTTTATGTAAACAAACAAAACAGAGAATTGAGACTTTCATCTTATAGTGGAATACCTATAAACCAAGTCAAAAAATCACTTCTTTGTCGCAGATACAAAAAATCTAGGAAGATAGATCACACCAAGGTCAAAAAGTTTGTAAATTCAGTGCACACAGGTGACAGGACTAGGAAAATCAAACAAGTCACAGAAACAAACAGAGAAACAAACAGAGTCCAATGAGTAAAAAGTCGAGAGAGACAATAAGAAGAAGCTCTAAATTGAGCTGCGGAGAAATCAAACCTGTCTAATGATGGTAGATGGGAATGTGGTGGAATTAAGAAGATAAACCCAGAAACAAAGGGAAAAACTTTCATATTCTTCATCATCTACTTCAACATCGACATTAAAATCCTCCAACAGAGAGTATCTATCCGTCTCAATTGCAGAAACACCCGCCATTAAAAAAGCCTCCACTTGTAAAACGAAACCCTTAAAAATCCACACCGAAAACAACCAAAAACCCTTTTGTTGATCGTCACCAATACAGACTCATCGATTAGCTTTATACAAAAGTGAAGATCCTCAAAAACTGATCCTTGGACTTCGACGGCTGTTAATATAACGGTTGGTCTCGTCTCTCGGTGGTTTACTGGTTGTGTTTGTGGGAGAGATGAATGCTATAATCTGCTACTTCACGTCCACCGAAAAGTACATTGGTCAACCAATTAAATGCACTTACCCCCTTTCTTCTTAATTTCCTTTGAAATAAAAAAGGTTTTTTGATCAAAATCTAATATAAGGTTTTTTTATTTCTTTTTCTTTTTTGCATATGCTTAATAGCAGGGTGTGTATTATTAATTATCATGTCTTTAATGGCAACAAGAAGAAGAAAAGTTACGACGTCTACCAAATACATAATATAGTTAAAGTAAGGAAACATGTCTTGGTGAAGCTTATATCGTCGCAGGAAAATTACAGAGGAAGTTTTAGATTCGATAAAAGGTTGTTGAATAAACCTAGAGTCAAAGAAACGATCAAGGAAGCATGGCATGCCTCTTCTTCTTTTTTTGGACAGAAAACTTCAGAGAGCTTGAGAAGATGTCGGAAAGCTCTCAGCAAGTGGAAAAGAGAAAATGTCACAAACTCTCAGGTCAAGATAAATAGGATTCAGGAAGAGACTGAGGCTGAACATGCATCTTTGCAACCGTCTTTTCACAAGATGGCAATGCTCAAGAGAGATATGGTTCAGGCTCACAAAGAAGAGGAAAGTTTCTGGCAACAAAAGACTCGTTATAAATGGCTGCATTCTGGGGATCAAAATACTAAGTTCTTCCATGCTTCAGTTAATGCTGAGAGAACAAAGAATGGTCTGGATATTCTTATTGATGAAGAGGGGAAAACTCACAAATCTGAGGCATCAAAAGGAGATGTGGCTGCTAGATATTTCCAGAAACTCTTCTCTTCTTCTTATCCTCTTGAATCAGATCATCGGTTTTTCAGTGATTTTCAACCAAGAGTATCAGAGGAGATGAATGAAGGCCTTATGGCTGAGGTGACCAAAGAAGAAGTCAGAACTGCTGTTTTTGGAATCAAACCTTCTAGTGCTCCAGGAGCGGATGGTATGACAGGTCTCTTCTTCCAGAAATATTGGGAGATTATTGGGGAGCAAGTTACTGCTGAAGTTATTGGATTCTTTAAAGATGGCTGTTTTGAGAAGGAATGGAACTTCACTCAGTTGTGTCTCATACCGAAAAAGACGAACGCCAAGTCCATGGCAGACCTGAGACCTATTAGTCTGTGTTCAGTGATGTATAAGATTATATCCAAGATCTTAGTGTCTAGACTCAAACCTCTTCTTTCAGAGATTGTTTCTCCTAATCAATCTGCTTTTGTGGCTGAAAGACTCATCTCAGATAACATTATCATTGCCCATGAAGTGGTGCATAGTTTGAGAACTCATGCTCAGACATCAAAGGAATACATGGCTATAAAGACTGATATGTCCAAGGCCTATGACAGGGTGGAGTGGTCTTATCTGGAAGCTCTTTTGACAGCCTTGGGTTTTCATGTCAAATGGGTTGAATGGATCATGACATGTGTCTCTTCAGTTACTTACACAGTCTTGGTTAATGGTCAGGCCTTTGGGATGGTGGAACCTCAGAGAGGCTTAAGACAAGGGGACCCTTTATCTCCCTTTCTTTTTGTCTTATGTACTGAGGGTTTAACCCATTTGCTCAACAAGGCGGAGATGGATGGAAGAATTAGTGGACTCCAGTTTGCTCCAGATGGACCTTCGATTCACCATCTTCTTTTTGCAGATGATAGCCTTTTTGTCTGTAAGGCTGATGTCTTCCAATGTGAGGCCCTCCAACAAGTATTGGAAGTTTATGGTAAGGCTACAGGACAAGTTATCAATCTTGACAAATCTTCTATTACCTTTGGTACAAAAATAGAAGAAGAGCTTAAAGAGAGGATTAAAACCAAGACAGAGATTGTTAATGAAGGAGGTGCGGGATCTTACTTGGGTCTCCCGGAATGCTTCAGTGGATCAAAAATTGATATGCTTGATTATATCAATGAGAGGTTAAAAAACAGATTCTCAGGTTGGTTTGCCAGGATCCTATCTCAGGGTGGCAAGGAGATCCTCATTAAGTCGGTGGCCATGGCGATGCCGGTGTTTGCAATGTCATGTTTTAAGCTCCCTAAAGCGACTTGTGCCACTTTAGCAAGTGCAATGTCAGATTTTTGGTGGAACTCATTGGAGAACCATAGGAAAATTCATTGGGTGGCCTGGAGTAAAATGTGTCTGCCTAGAAGTCAAGGAGGTTTGGGGTTCAAAGACATTGAGGTTTTTAATCAAGCTCTACTGGCTAAGCAGGCGTGGCGACTCTTACATTATCCAAACAGCCTTTTCTCGCGATTCATGAGGAGTCGGTATTATGAGAATGAAGAGTTTCTACAAGCTACAATAGGCAATAGGCCATCCTATGCTTGGAGAAGCATCCTTTCTGGGAAGGAATTACTTGAGAAAGGATTGAGGAAATGTATTGGTGATGGGGCTGACACAAGTGTTTGGACTGGTCAATGGTTAATGGATGGAACAATGCGGTCTCCCCTTATGAAGAATATTCTAGTGGATCTAGAGTTAAGAGTGAAAGACTTGATAAACCCTACCACTAAATCTTGGGACATGAACTCTTTGCAGGAACACTTTTTCCCTAGAGATATTGATCTCATTCTCAAGATTAAACCGGTGGTTTCCTCCACGGACTTCATGTGCTGGCAACATACAAAGAGTGGTGAGTATGCTGTAAAATCGGGTTATTGGCTTGCAGAAAAGGAGAAAAATGCTGAAACCATTCAAGAGGCTACTTGGCAGCCCTCTTTAAATCCAATAAAGGACAAAATCTGGGAAAGCCTATGCCCATCCAAACTGAAGATGTTTATGTGGAAAGCTATGTGTGGTGGCCTGCCTGTGGCTGAAAGACTTGTAACCAGAGGGATAAACTTAGATCAAAGATGCCAAGTATGTGGGGCGGAGGGTGAATCCATCAACCATCTTCTCTTTGCTTGTCCCCTTTCTAGGCAGATTTGGGCGCTATGTGATATCCCCTCTCCGGAAAACGGCTTTCATCTAAGCTCTCTGTACCAAAACCTGTATTATGTCTTAATGCTGGCAAAAAGAGACAAAAGGGTTGGTAATGCTGCAAGATCCATCCCGTGGATCCTATGGGTTTTGTGGAAAAATCGCAACAAATTGTCTTTTGAAGGGTTGTCTTTCTTGATCAAGGATATGGTCTGCAAAATCAAGGAAGACACAGAACAATGGTTTTTAGCTCAGCAGGTGGATAAAGAGGAAGAGGATAACAATGGGCTGAGAGCTAAGGACTGTGGCAAAACGTGGAGACCACCGGACAAGCCATGGTTAAAATGCAACATTGCATCATCGTGGGATAAAGAGAAAAAGATGGGTGGGGCTGCTTGGGTGCTGAGAAACTCAGAAGGTACAGTCCTTCTCCATAGTCGAAGAGGCTTCAGCTCCATTAACTCTAAGAATGATGCTGATCTCTCTTGCTGGTTATGGGCTATTGAAAATATGAGTAGTCTTCATATAAGACGTGTTATTTTGGCGGTGGAGACTAAAGATCTTTATGATGCAGTTTTACGGCCAGCAGCTTGGCCCTCTTATAAGCTGCAGACTCAGGTTATCTTAGAAGCTTTAGAGCAAATCCCTTTTTGGAAGATTCACAAAGAAGTTCGTAATGCTAACAAAGGTGCAGTCCTAATTGCGCTAAGCGTGACGAGGGGGGATCGAGGACAATCATATGTAGCTGCCGGCTATTCTTCATGGCTTCATGAAGTGTTCGTTGAGTAGATGTACGTTACTTCAATGTAATGTTTTTGTTTATTCTCTGAAGATGATTGTCCCCGATCCTTATAATTTTTGGTATAGGTTGTAAAAACTTGATGGTTATATTGAATTATTCAGACGAAAAAAAAAAAAAAAAAAAAGGAAACATGTTTTACAAGGCTCTTTCCCTTAAATACGCATAAGGTCAAGGTGAGATTTCCCATTGAGTTTCTGAGCAAAGAAGGCATCAAAATACTCTTGTGTGCTCATACTTTTGAACAAACTTTGTTTCTGTCTTTCTACAAGGCTTTTCGCCGGACCAATCACTGTCTCCTTTCCCGGACTATGAAACATCGCAACCGATAATCTCTCTTTCTCTGAATTCACCACCGCTCTATGCTCGATGCTTCGATATCTCCCGTTTGTTATGATCTTTACAATTGACAAAACATTCACATCAGACAGAGAATGCAGCGACAAGGCAAGGGCATCTTCATAACAGTGAGAGTTATTGGTTATCTCTTCTTACCTCTAAGATTTCCCCAACATTAACAACTAAAGCGTTGCGAAGAGGTTTTACAACAACCCACTTGCCGTCATTCTTGACCTGGAGTCCTTCCACTTGATTCACCTGCAACAGTATTGTGAGACCTGCAGCGTCTGAATGTGGAGTCAAACCGATAACTTGATCTGGCTGTGGACATGGCGGGTAGTAATTAATCTTGATAGACTGCCAAACATCTCCGAACAATTCTTCCATTTCTCCGCGTTTGATCTCAAGAACACTCGCCATTTTCCCAAAGAGTACCTTAGCTATGCTCTTCACTTCAGAGGAGTAAGCCTCTATAGTTTCTCTGAAAATTCAGAGAAACAAACTTATCAGTTCATAGTTGTGACTTGTAAGACAGAGAGAGAGAGAGAGTAATTAGTAAATTCACACAGCAAATCACAGTCAGCAGTTCTACCTGAAAGAAGGAGGCAATTTGGAGAACAAGTGAGATTTGCGTGATCGAATTGGCTCAGTAGTGAGGATGAACATGTCTCCCCAATCGAGTTTCTGATCCTCGGACACAATATTCACTTGTCCGAATCCTTCAAATTCACCACTTGTCTGCCAAAACTTCTTCTTCTCTTCCATGGGGAGATTGAAGAAATCTTGAACCTCTGTCTCTAGTTTTTCCAAGAAATTTGAGTCTATTCCATGGTTTACCAGCTGTACACAGATTTGAAAACCCCAGTAAGAGAGCTTTTTTCCAACACAAATAATATTTTATGAGAATATACAAGAAAAAATGTGTGAAAAGAGACGGACTTGAAAAAATCCCCAATCTTGGCAAGCGAAATCGAGCTTCTTGAGCTCGGAATCCATGTAGGAAACAGAACACAAGCGTTTCATGTCGATGACTGGAATCTCAGAATTCAGACAAGAATCATCGAGAATCTCAGTTTTATCTTGATCAGACACAACATACCTCGGAGGAACAGTTGTGACGTTCTTGTCTTTCACCATCTCTAGAACAGAAGGTACTCCGAGGGAGCTCCACTGTCTTTCTCCTTCCCCCTCCATGGACTTCTTGTAGCACCAAACCAAAGGCACAGAACTCGGAAGCTTTGATCCACTCAACAACCAACTTTTCGGCGAGAACCGAACAAAAGGAAAAAATCTGAAAATCGAAATTGAGAGAGAAAGGGGAATGAAAAATTTATTTGGAGAAAGACGACTTTTAGTAAACAAACGTTTATACTTTGCGACCAAGAGTAGCTGTTCCCAGTTTAAAAATCCCAAAACTACCCTCTACTCCACAAATGGTGAATAGCCTTTTCAACTTCATCACTTGATCGCACTACAAGAGTCTACAACAAAATATGAATTCGTTGAAAACATAACAAGAGCAATTCGCAGACTTTGTTCTTCCAAAACTTTACAAACACATAACCCCTTTGTTCACGATGAACTTAACTAAACGTCCCTCACAGATGCCGAATTTGAGTAACAGTGAGAGACTTCATGAACTTTCCTTTACTTTCTTTTCAGTTTTCAAGTTGTTTTGGGGAACTGAGTCTCCAAATTCCAGCCAATACGCTCCCAAGGATTGAGTGACAGACACTAGAAACAGCGCATGGAACTGCAGTGAGTGGATCCCCAAAATGCTGTGTCGCCAGAACAACTCCAAGCACCGAGTTCTTCACCAAAAAAAAAATGCCTCAGTTGACATTGAGTTTTGAAGAGGTTATGTTTACTGTTTGATCTAAGAAACTGTTTAGTTACCTGCATGCCGACTTCGATAGATATAGTTCTGGACGATGCGACATCAATTCCGAGAAATCTTGAAAACAGGTACCCAAAGAGAAATCCAGAGGTATGAAGAAGGAATGAAGCCATGACTACTTGTTTCCCAGACATGAGAATTGCAGATGCATTCTGACCGATAGCATACCCACACAGGATTGCAACGGTTCCAACCGCAATTGGAGGCATCACAGGAGAAACAAATTTCACCAGCTTTTTAAAGTATTGGTTCAGAAACGCACCAGCCAACACAGGGAGAAGAACCACCTGTAAAAGAGCCAAGAAGGGTTAATTCAATGAATGAAAACTCGCTCGTTCTAATTCGAACAAGAAACTGATTGAACGGACCAAACCTGTAGTGTTGACATTAGTAATCCAAGAGCATCAACTGTGATATATTGCTTGGCAAGCTTGGCAGTAAGAAGCGGTGTCATAATCTGGAAAATGGAATGGATTTAATGGGATGTCTTAATCTACAAGAAGAATGGGAAAACCGATGACAGTAAGCCACTAACCACAGCTGAAACAGTGCTAGCTGCTGTCATCAACACTGATAGCGCAACATTTCCACTGCACAATGAAAAAAAAAAAAATCAGATCATCTACTTGTACTAGAAGAAATATATGGAACCCAGAAAACGTTTTTTGTTTTTGTTTGGATTACAAACCGTGCAATGTAGGTGACGATGTTACTAGCCGTACCTTCAAATAATAACAAATGAAAAAGTATCAGAGCACTACATGAATGTTAATAAACTTCAATCAAATAAGGAAATGTATTATTACCGCCTGGACAGCAACCAACCAATATGAGACCGGCTGCGTAATGTGGTGGCAAATTTAAGAGCCTACTCACAAAATATCCTGATAGTGGCATCACCTGCAACATAGGATCCATCAGCAAGCTATATGAATCTATACATTTCTAATACGACTCTCTCAGTAAAACTACAACGTGATAATGCACTGGAACCACCAAGATCAAGAGCTGAAGCAAGAACATAACTACTTCACAAGTTAATGTTACCAAAATCCAAAAAAAAAAAAAAAAAAAAATTGTTCCTGCAAGATTTTATCTTGGCCAATTTTCTCTTCTAATTTCAGAAGAATCGAACATTATAATAAGCATTATGTTCAGAGAAGACGTAACAAATAGTCGATGAAGGGACAATGATGAGAGGCAAACCGACCGAGTACTGCAACACAAAGCCAGCGAAGAGCTCCTTGGGCATCGAGAAAGCACTACGAAGATCATCGAGGGTCAAAGTCATTCCCATTCCAAGCATAGTGATCGTGAGGCCTACAATGGTCCAATTGGGAGTGACCCAATTGAAAGTAGATGGTCTCAGAAGCCCCAACAAGCATCCAAGAGAAACCCATATCGGGAAGGCCGTCGAAACCGCCTCTCCCACAAACTCAACCCACTCGCCAAAGCTCTTCTTTCCCTCAGTAGGCAAATCGTTCGACGAAATGCCGCAACGAGGAACAAAGTCAAACCGACGCCTAAACGAAATCGGTTTAGTAGATTGATTCGTAAGTGAAATTTCGCGACTAGAGGAAGAGTTAGAAAGCCTAGAACAAGAGATAGTTCGAAGATGTTGTGGAGTGAATTTAGATTTGTGGAGCAGGGAATTCGATTTCAAAGGCGTTGCTCCGTTCATAAGAGAGATAGAAATCGCAGACGCCATTTCTTTTTATCTTACCGGCGATTCTCTCTCTGATCGGACCGATGAAGAAGAAACCAAAACATGTATGTACTCTCTCCCTCACGTGCCTTTCTTTAATTAAACACGTTGTTTGCTAAAATGGTCCTTGAATAAAACCTGTTTCTCTAGTCTACCCCCAGCGAAACTATATTTCCCATATCCCATAAATCGTCCCCCCTTTTTATAATAAGTCCACAAAGGGGTTATTTAAAATGGTAATGATCAAAAGAGATTTAAGAAAACCAAATAATTTAGTAATTTACTCACAAATCACAAGTCACAAAGTCACAAGCCACAAGTGACAATAATTGTAAATGTGTCGGTGATCTGATTAAGCATATGGGCAACAGCAATAAATGATTACATATCCCATGTTAAGAGAAACATATCAAAATATAGTAAAAATATCATTGCAAATTCGATTGATGTGTCGCAATTACGAAAAAATCCCTAGACGGTATAGAAAAGAGTTTTGAGCTTTGACAACTTGAGAGCCACATATGCTACCTAACAACAAAACTATATCACAATCGCAAACGTCAACGTACTGTGTAGCCCATACTATCATTTGTTTTACGTTACCTAATTTTTTTCTTTCTCTCATGAACATCATTGAACTTATTCAAAATTTATTGTATAGTTTTTATACATCTTTTTTTTTGTTGTCAATGGTTACTTCATATTACGTATCCAAATTTAATGAGATTTTTTTATAAGTCAGAATATGCATCTCAGACTAAAAACATCATGTTAGAACACGCGAAGTCGGTGTTTGAGAAAACGCGCGATTTAAAAACACGCGACTCAAGTCGTGTACCTACCCGCGTTTTGAAAATAAGTGAGGAAGAAAAGGGCAGTATCGTAAGTTAAAGCAATATATAATGAATTCTCGGAGGCTCTTCCCTCTCCATGAGTCTTTTTTGGTATTCTCTTTCTCTATTACGAAGACTCTTTATTTGAATTTTTTGATTCTTCTTCTTCTCCGTTTCTCTCGCTTCTTCGTCACCCTCTTCACCGTCAGAATCTATTCTCCACGTTTTCCCGGAATTTTCAAATTGCTATTGCCGACCTAAGGTTGTTCTGATCGTTGAAGATCTGAAATTTCAGAGGTATGTTTCAGAGAATCTCGAATTTTACATGAATCATCATAATGCTTCACTGAGTTTATCGTTGCTTACTTCTCCTTTTTGATCCGATTGATAAACTCTATCTCCCGTTGGTTACGAGATTGTGGTTTCGTCTGTTGTTTTTTTTGGTAGTCGGCTCTCTGATCTGGATTTTGGATCTAAGGTTCTTTTGATGTTTCAAATGCGTTTACGTTATTGATTCCGTTAGATCTGCTGATTCAGTCTCTAATATCTAAGGATCTTTACTATTTCACCTTGGAAATCGCATTACATGTTCTGATTGTTTGTGTTGTTTCTGCTCTACTACATGCAATTTCTTTCAACTCTTACGCTGATCTGATGATTCCATTCTTAAAAAAAAAAACGCAGCGTTTAATCATGGCTTCGTATACTCCCAAGAACATTCTCATCACCGGAGCTGCTGGTTTCATTGCATCTCATGTCGCCAACAGACTCATACGGAGCTATCCTGATTACAAAATTGTTGTGCTTGACAAGCTTGATTACTGTTCAAACCTCAAGAATCTCAATCCTTCTAAGCAGTCTCCTAATTTCAAGTTTGTCAAAGGTGACATCGCCAGTGCCGACTTGGTGAATCATCTTCTCATCACTGAAGGTATCGACACCATCATGCACTTCGCTGCTCAGACGCATGTCGACAATTCCTTCGGTAACAGTTTCGAGTTTACTAAGAATAATATCTATGGAACTCATGTGCTTCTTGAGGCTTGCAAAGTCACTGGTCAGATTAGGAGGTTTATTCATGTCAGTACTGATGAGGTTTATGGGGAGACTGATGAGGATGCTCTTGTTGGTAACCATGAGGCTTCTCAGCTGCTTCCAACGAATCCTTACTCTGCAACGAAAGCTGGTGCTGAGATGCTTGTTATGGCCTATGGCAGATCATATGGGTTGCCTGTTATTACCACGCGTGGGAATAACGTCTATGGTCCGAATCAGTTTCCTGAAAAGTTGATTCCTAAATTCATTTTGTTGGCGATGAGGGGGCAAGTTCTTCCCATTCATGGAGATGGATCAAATGTTCGGAGCTACCTGTACTGTGAAGATGTTGCTGAGGCATTTGAAGTTGTTCTTCACAAGGGAGAAGTTGGCCATGTTTACAATATTGGGACGAAGAAGGAGAGGAGAGTGAATGATGTTGCCAGAGATATCTGCAAACTCTTTAACATGGACCCTGAGGCAAACATCAAGTTTGTTGACAACAGACCTTTTAACGATCAAAGGTACTTCCTTGACGATGAGAAACTCAAAAAGTTGGGCTGGTCAGAGAGGACCACGTGGGAGGAAGGATTGAAGAAAACTATGGATTGGTACACACAGAACCCGGAATGGTGGGGAGATGTTTCTGGAGCATTGCTACCTCATCCAAGGATGCTGATGATGCCTGGTGGGAGACACTTTGATGGCTCCGAGGACAATTCGTTGGCAGCTACTTTATCTGAAAAACCAAGTCAAACCCATATGGTGATTCCAAGCCCAAGAAGCAGCGGCACACCACAAAAGCCTTCACTGAAGTTCTTGATATATGGAAGGACCGGGTGGATTGGTGGTCTGCTTGGAAAGATATGTGAGAAGCAAGGAATTGCTTACGAGTATGGGAAAGGCCGGTTGGAGGATCGATCATCTCTTTTGCAGGATATTCAGAGCGTTAAGCCAACCCATGTTTTCAATTCCGCTGGAGTGACTGGGAGACCCAATGTTGACTGGTGTGAGTCTCACAAGGCTGAGACTATCCGTGCTAATGTCGCTGGCACATTGACTCTAGCTGATGTCTGCAGAGAGCACGGGCTCTTGATGATGAATTTCGCTACTGGTTGTATATTCGAATATGATGACAAGCATCCGGAAGGTTCAGGAATTGGCTTCAAAGAGGAAGACACACCCAACTTCACTGGTTCTTTCTACTCAAAAACCAAAGCCATGGTATTGTCAAGTTCTAACACCTCTTTATCTCTCACGTATTCTCCTTCGTATGTATGCTAATTTTGTTATGACTGTGTCCACAGGTTGAGGAACTGCTGAAGGAGTTTGACAATGTATGCACATTGAGGGTAAGGATGCCAATATCCTCAGATCTAAACAACCCACGCAACTTCATCACCAAGATCTCCAGGTACAACAAGGTCGTGAACATACCAAACAGCATGACTGTGTTGGACGAGCTTTTACCAATCTCGATCGAGATGGCTAAAAGAAACTTGAGAGGGGTCTGGAACTTCACAAACCCGGGTGTGGTGAGTCACAACGAGGTCCTAGAGATGTACAGAGACTACATCAACCCTGAATTCAAATGGGCAAACTTCACGTTAGAAGAGCAAGCTAAAGTCATTGTGGCTCCAAGAAGCAACAACGAGTTGGACGCTTCTAAGCTCAAGAAAGAGTTCCCTGAGCTACTCTCCATTAAGGAGTCTCTGATTAAGTATGCATTTGAGCCAAACAAGAAAACCTGAAGAGTGAAGGACTGTGATTCGTCATTAGATTAATCACCTCTAATATCAGTTTCTATTAAAAGTTTTTTTCTTTTTGTTATTGTTTTGATTACCTCGTCCTTCCCCTTCTTTCTCTAGATTTGCTTAGGGGTGTATTTGTTGTAGTTGGAGTATTCTATGTAATAAGAGCTTGATTATTAATGCTCTGTTGTGTTCTTCCTCTCATTTGTGTCATAAGTTGCTCCTTTTTCGTTGTCATAAGTTGGCTCTACTCTTATTATATTAGAATCAAACCACTAAAAGAGTCTGGTAATGGCTGCTTTTTGTTACAAAACAATAATTTTTTATTGGGTTACATGAAACTCACTTGACACCGTCTCGGGATATTAAGGTGAGGATGTCGTGTCAGCGAGCTTCTCAAGGAAGCAAACAACGTCGTCAGGTGAACCAAGGAGATATCTGGCATTGGTGCGAGTACGACCCACAGCGCAAGAGAAGTAATTCTCTCCTTTGAGGTCAAGCACGTTCCATGAGATCTTCTCTGGTGAAGGCCGTCTTGAGTTTCCTAAGCTATGGTTGGATCCACTTTTTCTTTCTGTTGTCTGAAGAGATCTCTGTGAGGACTTGTTGTTGTTGTTGTTAGAGTTAGAGGATGATGAGGATTTTGGTCCACTTTTGTTGTTATGTGTCGACTTTGGAGGCGGTCTTCGGTCTCCTGATGATGACTTGCTTCCACTGTCAGATGATGGTCTGGCTCTTGCAATGGCTGGTATGTCGGATGGAAGTTCTGGTTCGAAGAAGGTGTAAACATCTTCGTCCTGTTATTAACACAATGTCAAAGAGACAATTGTATCAAAATCTCTCGACACTCTAGAACTAAATGTGGTATATATTACAAGAAAAAGCTTTAATCACCTTCCCCAAGAAATGACCAATGCACAAGACGTAATCGATGGGTGTGGTCATGGACTTGCTATGCACTATCTCTCCTAGAATGCGGTCTATTGCGGCTCCCTGAGAAATAAAATACCCTGGAATGTGAGAATCTAAAAGTGATAGAGAATAGATAGGAAAAGGCTATATTGATGGATTTTGTTTTTACCTTTGTCACACCAACCGCACGGACCTCCACAGAGCGGCTTCCTTGGACAACATCAACTGATGCATTAGAGATTGGACCTGTCCATAAGTGTTGTAACAAATCTCTTGCTTGAAGTCTCCCGAATTCAATATCTACAGGGAAAAATGAGATAATAAGTGTCTCAGGGTGATTGAAAGGCAAAAACAATCATGTACAAATAGAGAAGTACTTACCTGCATATTTGTAGTTCCATATAAGTGAAGTATCGCGTGTTTCAAAATGTGATCTAGGAGTTCTCTCAGTGAAGTACTTGAAAACATGCTACAAACAGGCAAAACAAGAATTAAGGAAAGGGAAGTGAAGAAAGTTATCAAGTTTGAGATGCTGTTTTTCTGAACCATGAATCTATTTTACCTTAACGCTATCAACCCATTCCATGTTCAAGTGTTCTGGCATTGTAGTCATCCAC